ATATCACCTCTCTAACACATCACATCAAACCCAACCCAAACCCACCAATAAGTCAAAAAGTGTACTTTTTTAGAACATCTCAAACCAACCCTTAATAGACATGGCCCCTTACTTTTTGATAATTTTTCTTTCAATTCAACTGTACAAAAGACATTGATTGATTGATAGATAGTACTATCTTCTTTTTGGATAATGTTATAGCGGGCAGTGTGGTCGGAAAATCACCCACACACTAGATATAGGTAGGAGAATGAGAAAAAAAAATTATCAACATATAGAAAAGTGCAAATGACACTATTACACCTTCGCAGTCTTTCATTTACATCCTATCACAGACACACATGTATCCCCATATATTTGAATTTTTTTTTTTATTTCTCCAACCTAAATGTAATTCCTCCTAGATTATTCTTACGATTTTGTTTTCACAATGTTGTGAATTTTTATTTTATTTTCATAATTTATAAATTAACTATGAAATACTATTTTTTAAATGTCTATTTCCTTTATATTATTATAAAATTTTTCATTTTAAAAATATAATTACAAATATCACGTGTGTTGTGTATACGACCACTAATATATAGTAGGGTAAATTACACTTACACTCCTAAGATTTGGGTTTAAAATATATCACTTCCTAACGTTTGAAAAAATATACTAATTTTCTGTCATTGTAATTATTTAGACGGAATAAGTATATTGAACACATACACTCTCTTTTCTTCATTTACTTTACTTTCTCTGTTTTTTTTTTTTTTTTTCCTTATCCTTTGCTTTATGTTTTTTTTAATGTAATTTCTTCTATTTTTCTACGAAGAGTTGTTTTTTATATAAGTAAAGAAAGATTTGTAAAATGAGACTATTAACCACATGGATGAAAATATAATTTCCAAAATATCATGAGTGGGATGTAATTGAACCAAACCTCAAGTGGTGTCAATGTAATTTATCCAAAAATTTAAGTACACAAAATTAAATTATAGAAAAATAATAATTTTAATGGAACTATTAGAAAAATATAACAATAATTTAGAAAATAAGAAAATGTCAAATTTAATTTGAATTGGATTTGGATTTGCAAAAAAAAAAAAAAAAAAAATACCTGGCGTTTTGCATGGTTTTCAATTTAAACCACATAATTTCATTTTTGACAAATTAAACCCTAGAGTTTCATCTTTGTTTCAATTTGGCCTCTCTATCCATCTCCGTCATATTAGACTAAGGGAAATCTGAGTAGAATTTCAGATTCAAACTCACATGTTCAAACACTCGTATTTCTCTCGTTGTAACTCCATTTCTCCTTATTTTTGCGTAAAAGTAGACCCGAAGACCTACAAGGACGGGCGCAAATACGGAAGCGGCAAGGAGAGATCCTCACTCTTGTCACATAGTCATGTTTTGTCGCTGATGGTAAGAACCAAGACAACCTTGACAGCCGAGCCCAATTTGACCTATGGTCGCCTTAGTTTTAGCTATCAACAATTTTATAATCTCAAATTTAATTATATAAAAATAATAAAGAATTACTATCTTGTGATTTAAAATTTATCCTATATATGGACTCAAACTATACAAATTTAATTTTTATCATATAATTATTTATTCACCAAATTTTGGATGAACAAGTATCCAGACTAAGGCCTCTTCTCAGAATATGAAAAAAAGGTAATTTATTGATTTATTAACTTATTTAAGTAAATCATCTCTTTATTTTTTTATATATTATTTTAAAAATTAATAAATTAATTTTTTTTTCAGTTTCCAAAATAAGCCTTATTTGGGAAGAAAAAAATAGCTCAATTTAGGCTAAAATTCACAAAAAGATAAAATATGCTAAAATAGCTAATAAGACAAAATGTCACATCAAATCCATAATCATTTCATTTTTTCTCTCACAAACACCACATCCAATTACAAAAAAATCTAACTATCTTCCCAAATACAAAAATTTTAGTCTACTAAAATAGTCAAAAACTAAAACAGCGTACTAAAATAACAATTTCCCAAGCACCCGCCATACAAGAGCAACTTCCATTCACCACATATGAGTCACCAGTTTTACACAAGCATCCGAATTTTCAACTAATTATAATAAACTGACCAGAATTTTCTGAATTAGAACATATACAAAACAAATAAATGGTCTTTCGAAATGACTGAAAATTCATCAATATTACTACTTTAGACAAATTCTAAGGAAACCATACTATAGATGGGCATTAAAAATCAGAAACACAAAATAAAGCATGTTGCTGTCCATGGGCATTTGGTGACTCCATTTGGGTGTTCCAATGTGGGCATTACCTGATCTTTCACTACTCATGGAAATTTTGTGTTAAGTGCCAACTTTTAACTTACCGGGATATAGCAGACATGCTCAAAGAATTTAGTATTTTAAAGCCTTGGTGAATTGATGCTATGCTCAAAAATGATATGGTGCCATCCTCGAAAAACTCTTCAACACCTTCTCTTCTCTTAACAAAGTCAATGTCAGCAATTGATGCAGCGACTGTGCCTGAAAAGCTTTTGAATGGTTACGTAATATTGGCAGCAAACAAGTAAATTATTGCAAAGGACAGATCCGAACACAGACCTCCACTAAAGTATGTCTTCTTCAGTAACTTGGCAGCTTCTGTAGAATTGCGATTGAAAAATAAGGAAGTTCATTTCTCAATGCTTGAAAGGACAAATAAAATAAATATTTAACGCTTGCATGAAAAAATAAAAAAAATAGCCTCCAGGTGCAGTCAATTTGGTGCCAGTGGTATTCCCTAGAATTATCTCAAAGTGGATGGAAAACTTTGATATTAGAACCATTATCTTGCTTTCCAAATCAATGGGTACAAATGTCAACTCACACAACTGAACTCAACTCAACAAGCTTTGATACAATGCTTAGGGTTGACTACATGGATCCATGTCCTCCAATTGGTGCTATTTGTAGTCATATCCTCCGTAAAGTTTAAAGATATTCATGTCCTTTCTTATCATTTCAATCCAATTTCTCCTAGGCCTTCCTTTATTGGCTTTACCACTTTCCACGTGGATCAAATCACAAACCCCCACCCCCTACAACACATTAATTGGTGTACAATGCACATGACAACATCATCTCACATGGTTTTCCCTCATCTTATCTTCAATTGGAGCCAGTTATAACTTCCTCCTAATGGACTCATCTCTTATTTTATCTTTTCTTGTATACCCACTCATCCATGTCAACATTCTTAATTCAGTTATAATCATTTCCCAATCATGTTTTTTCATAATCACACAACATTAAGAACAATAATATATCATTGATTCATTGTATGTCTAGTCCTATAAAATTTTCTCTTAACTTGAAAAGAAACCTACAATCACACAATAGTCCTGAGGCACTCCTCCATTTCATCCATCCGCCCTAATAGGATACTTCTATAGACCACTTCCTCAATCTCTCAATCTTTATGAATAATAATTCAAAGATATCAGAAATGATCACTATTAGGTATCTTATTTCCATCAAGTTTTACGCAACCTTCATCCCTATTTCTAGTTTTGCTTAAAATATTTTTTAAAAAGAAAAAAGAAAAAGAAGCCAACAAAAAAGTAAAGAGAAGTTTAAGCAGTAATCCCAAAATTGATGACAAATGAGCAACATTTATCTCGAATTTAATATAACCAATAAAAAAGCTTAAAATTTGGCTTGTACAGTTCCATCTTTCTTAAGTAATTGCATATGCTATTGGAGATGATAGATTAGAGTACCAAATTTTTTACACCGCCTCACAAGATAAAAAAGGAAATAACCCTTTTAAATCAGCTGCTTACCAGTTTTCACGATGAGAGCTCCAAGACCGGTTGGATAGCCAAATAGCTACATGAAAAGCAATATACAAGAATCAGACACCAATATCAACAGATAACAGTCTCTTATATCAATCTTGAACAACTGCAGATTTGCAAAAAAGCACCTTATAGAATGAAATTATAACAAAATCTGCCTGATACTTTGACAAGTCTGGTGGTTCTGTTGCACATCCTTTGGCAGCATCAAGCAAAACCATCCAGCGCCCCCTGCTTTTAAACATTAGGTTAAAATGATGTTTAGCAAGAATCAACAGAGCAAGCATCTAAATTAAAAAATGTCAGAATGGAAAATAGAATGGCAAACTGTAATTAAATATTGTATCTAGCTTAGATACTGTAATGATCAAAAGCAAGAGTAAAATTGCAAATGGAAGCTCCATCTGCAACTCAATATGATTCAATCTAAAAATTGATGCAACTTTATGAAGCTTGTGCAAATATTGTATCTAGCTTATAACAGTTTCAAGAAGTTTGTGCATTTACTTAGAAAATATGAAGAAGAAGAACTCCGAAAATATGAGGAAGAATGAATATATTTCTGTTATATTCAAAACTTCTTATCTTACAAGACCAAATGACACTCCTTATATAGGAGATATTACAAACATCATCATAACCCATTATATGCCACTTACATATTATATATTACCACAATCTACCACTATCATATTATATACATGCCACTATCTACCACCAACACCACTATCATATTCTATACATGCCACTATCTACAACCAACACCACTATCATATTCTATGCATACCACTATCTACCACCAACACCACTATCATATTCTATGCATGAACACAATTGCCAGCACATTTCTTAAGCATCAATTTGCTGAAGCAGTCACTATAATGTATACATGGTGTAATTGGAGAGAACAAAATGATCCAACATTCAAATCATAATTATGACAGCAATTCTACTGCTGTTCAAAGCAAAATGCAGAGAGCCATTCAGTAACTGCAAAGAATTAATCAAGATAAAATTTATATATTCTGGAGGAAATAATCGATTAATCGAATGAACAAGTGAAGTGACTACTTGCAATATGGAGAGCCTTCCAAAACTCTTTCAGAATCATCCTTGATAATATTCACCAAGTCAAGGCTAAATCTTGAACCTGAGAAGTTGCACTCTGACGGAAAGGCAAATAAGTTGAATGCATTTCCTGCAATAAGCAAAGTAAATGCTGTAACAAAGTACAAGAAAGGCAAGAAACCCTGTGCTGTGAAGCATGATTTCTAAATGTCAAACAAATATTATTATCATTGCAACAGAAATAATGAAGTTTTTGTCATATTTACTGAAATGCTAAAATTTTAAATCACAAGGACAAAAACAATCAAACCTATCTTGATGGACTTCAGGAGATCTTTCTACTGGCCAGATTGAGAAATTCTTATACTTTTCAGATCATACTCATTGACATTGAAAAAAAAAAAAGCACGCCATGTTTCTTTAACCATCTAGAGAGCCATCAAAAATTGACAAAAGGAACACACATGCCAGTTGAATAAATACAGCCTCATTGCCATTTAACGTTGCCCACAAATTTCTATAATTCAATGGCGCAAAGCTCTCAGAAAAGTAAGTGTGTTTGTATGTGTGTGTGTGTGAAGAGGGAGGGAGGGGAAGAAGAAGAAGAAGAAGAAGAGAAGAAGAAGAAAAGAAAAGAAAAAAAAAACAAAAAAAAAACAAAAACAAAAATAGGAAAAACCAAGGTAGCGTTTGGTAGAGTTTTAGAATTATGATTTGAGAATAGAGTTGTATTTTAAGTTTGTAAGTTCTAGAATTATGATTTGAGCGTGAAAAAGTTGTTCGGTTATGAGTTTTGTAAAGAGTTTTGAATTGAGTCCGAAGTTTTTTATATGACATATGATATTTGATTAAAAAACTTACAACTCATAACCAAATATACAACCCAAAATTCTATTCATAGCTCATAAAAAAAAATTTAAAAATTCCGAAAATATTTTTTATTAAAAATATAAAAATAACAGGTGTCAAAAAAATAAAAAAATAAATAAAAAGAACACTGTTCCGGTCAACCAACCGGACATCCGGGAGGATGACCGGGTAGACGTGTTTGCAAAAGTGGGTGTCGAATCAATTTTTGAAAACTGTAACCAAACACCTATCTCAAACCAAGCAGTGGAATTAATTTTGGAAAGCTCTTCCAAACAGAGCCCAATTCTCATCAGCTTTTCCAAAGACACTATTGTGTGTCAGTTTTTAACATTTCGTAGGCTCTTCTTCCAAGATTCTAGCTGCATTTCTCTTTTGTGTGTGTGTGTGTGCGGGGCGGGACCCGGGCGCGGGGGCTCAGAATATGGGTGAGAAGAAGAAAAAGTCAATAGGTAAACATCAATTCTCATCAGCTTTCACAAGGATGCCATTCCGCGTCAGTTTTTAGCTTAATATTCACCTGTAAGCTCTTCTGCCAAGATTCTAGCTTCATTTCTCCTTTGTATATGGTGTCGTAATACCTTGATGGAAGATACAGGGCTTCTAAATCCTACACCAACATGAGCAGCTTCTTCAATATCTATTGCAAAGGCTGTAGCTCCTTTATTGAGTGCATATCTTGAGAAGTTATGGTCAACATATCTAAAAAAATCATTAATTCCAGAAAGAATATAATAACTGATTTCGATTTCTAGTAAATGTAGTGGATGTTGCCAACAACATGGACAGCCACAAGGTCCTCAATTCATATTAAAGAAAAAACTAATGAGAGGACAGCATCCACGAGGGGAAAACAATATATATAATATATGTGATGGCACTGATATGTCCCGAGATTCAGTAACATGCTGTTATAGCATTCAGCAGAAATTTATGCTCAATAACACAAGTTGTTAAATTAATACTTCAAATTAAAGCATAAAATACACATAACCCGATTGTTTAACATGCCAACATCTTTTCTAATTGATGAATGTGATGTGATCCTTGCCATGCACCCATCCAACTCTAAAAGAAAAAGAAAATAGAAAGTAAGTGATTGCTCCGGCAAGATCATTTGATGATCACAAATACATGATATATTAATCCCCCAGCCACCTAATTCAAGAGCACATTTCCCATGTCAGTAAACATTTTTCATGCACAATTTAAGAAAACATTTCATTCAAACTTCACCTTCTGCTTCAGATAGCAAACACAAATGAATCAATGATGCTCAAAAAATCTTAAACAGCTAGGCATTCATGCCATTTTAAAATAGTACACCAAGATATTCTAAAAGAACTCTATAAATCTTTACATTTTAAATAATCAGACTTTTCCTTATGCTTTAAAAAATCCAAAAATATTGTTTTTCCTTTATGTTATAGTCTCAAAGGTTGCATGTTTTAAAATTATATCCAAGATTCTGCAAAACCCTAGAATAGAAACCAACAACATGCCTCTCCCAATCTAGTAGTGAATCATACATGAACATAATATGAACCACTAATCAAAAGAAAAACCCTTGAATTCACATAGCCCAAAGTTGTAAGCACTATGTTGCCAGCCTTTATATTTTTAGTGCCAAGACAGAAACAACCATGTTCCAATGGAACTTTAACCCTGTAACTTCCTCTGAGGGAGTGGAAAAAGACACCACTCAAGCTAAGAGCTGGTGATTGTTGTGTTTCTTCTCAGCTCTAACAAATTCAAAAGTGGGAGATAGGTGCACTAAAGGATAAGTTAGCAAAAATCCCTACTTCTTATTCACAGAGACAATATCAGTAAGAAAATAACATGAAAATATGTCCCACATTGTTCCTCGTTCCTAACTACATGGGGCCAACAAGCAAGGTCTCATTGTCAAAGGATACTCTCGGATCCCAAGGACACTATTGTGATTTTCCATCGTGTACATGAAAGCACTGTGACTGCTCCAAGGAAAGGCCTCCCCAACAAGTTTCAAGGCAGCTGTTGCCCCAGAAGTGAATATACATTTGTAATCTTTTGGGGAGGCATTACAGAAATCAAGGACCTGTGCCACAAGACAAACAGAAAGCAAATATCAGTTGCTCATACAAGCTAAAACCATCCTGCCTTACACATTCAAAGTTTAAATCAAATTATATATATATATATATATATTTAAAAAATAATGTCATGGAAATTTGGTTTTGTAAAAGGGAAAAAGGGTAAATGCACATTTACAGTTAATCTCATCTAGCTGACCACTCTGTCTTTGACAGGGGAGGGTAGTATACTTTTATAAACACAAGGGACGTTCTGCAAGGTTCTTGTAATTATCCATTTATCTTTTTTTTACAACCAATTATACACCCACAAACCAAAGATTTGTAAGATATAGAACATTAAATGTATACTGTAAAAACATATACCGGTATTTTTAATAAGGTGTCACTAAGGTAAGAAAAAGACAATGAAATACCTGTTGACGAGCTTCCCTTACAATGTCGGAAGTGGCCAAGCTAGAGTCACTTTGGCTATCTAATATTTTTAAGGATTAAGAAAACCCTTTTTAATAACTCAATCAAGACTAATAAATTCAATAAATATGCTTTCTATCTAATAAGGGCATAATTTGAAAGGATAAAGTAGCACAATCCAAATGTTGTTCAATAGATGAATTCACCTCCCTCGAAATCCAACTATACCAAAAATTGCATCTTTAACTAAAAATTAGAAACTTATATTCTTTCAAAAGACCTGCATTCCTTCCATTCCAAATTGTCTACGTAAAACAAAATTGAGCGAAAACCCAAATTTCTTCACCCAACACCAACCCCCTCCCTCAGGCCAAATCTATGCAGAAGACCTGCCAATGCTTTTGGAGAAAACCCTTTGCATCCCAGACAAGGCCAAATCAACCCTTAAGCTATCTAGCGACTCAACAATGAATAAAAAGATTATGACCCAATTCTCCATCTAGCAAGCACCTACAACATTTATTCACAAATACCCACCTTCTAATCAAGTTGTCAATAATGAGAATCTTCCCAACGAGCCACTGAAATGCAAAAAATTCCATCTTAGAAGGTGGCTCTGCAATCCAAATTCATCCTTCCTATGCCCAACCAAAGCCCCGTAAAATGATTCACATACAAAATACCCCCAACTTTTTGAATCCCCTTCCAAAGGCTCCTCCCATGAGGTATGGAAACCTCAAAGAAGTCCAATCCCCCATGAACCTCCATACTTCACATACAACACCCTCCTCCAAAGAGGTCCAGCCAATATTCTTGGGATAATAATAGCAAAAACACGAGAAGAACCAAAACAAGGTCAGCAAATAGAGGAAAGACATAATAGATATTTTAATTGAAAGTTTACCAGGTTACCTAGTAATCTACCAGCTGAAGAAGTACCCATATACAAACCATGTGAAGCTTAAGCTAGTTTTGATAAGTTATAGAACTGAGCCAAACAAGCACATACACGATTTCAATTTGTGACTTTTAGGCATAAGGATGAATGCTTTCCATTCCAGGGAATATTCAGCTAAATAGTGTCAGCACGTAGAAATCTTTTATTTCCAATGAAGTACGCTCAACCTTCTACTAGACTACTATATTAATCTCTTGTTAAGCAAATAGTGATACCAGTGTAAAGATTAATAGGTCAAAGATGTTCTGATGACCAACCATTTATTGTATATATGTGAGTGCATTTTTGGTCACTGTATCTACAAACAATCAGATCACTTTAATTTTCTCATTAGCATCAATACTAAATACTAAGAAACAAGATTAACCTTACACAATTAAACTACTTAATAATGATAGTTGTATATAGCCATTCACATGCAAAGGATACGAGGGTTCCCATAAACATTGGTGGTAAGACCTTTGAAGATTGCTTCCATTTGTAACTCAGAATATAAAGTTGCCCCAGCATGATCCAAGTACACAAGACCTATCAATTCCAATCCCAATTAAAACAACAAGTCCGAAACATAAAACAAAAAAAAAGATATCCTTTTTTAGCCACTCAAAAAACCTAGGGTTCTATTTGTTTTTTTTTTTTTCCACTTTATTGTCACACCCGTGCTGTTTGGATGCTGAGAAAATAGAAAAATAAAGTCTTTTGAAGTTTTCTCGGGAGTGAAAGGGATGGGGATTATTTGGGCTGGAAAGTAGTAGAAAGGGAAGAGAAACTAACTGACCATCCAATCTCTTGAATTCGGTAGCACGGATCTGATCGATGTTTTTGGAAGCATTCGAGTACCCGTAGTCGCCACTGAACTCCTTCATGAATTGTTGTTTATCTAAATCCAACTTGTTCATGGTTTGAAGGTGTTCAAACACCCCAAAAGAGAAAGATAAGAGAAAGATAATAGAAAGATGGACTGTTGGACTGTCGTCCGAGAGAGAATAGGATGAGATGAGAGGTTCGCTTCTGTTCTGAATTTTTTTTTGAACCAAGCTTCTGTTCTGAACGTTGATTACTTGGTGCTGTTTGAAACAGATTATATATTATTTTAATTAGAAGTTTTGTGGACCTCACACTTACTTACGTGAGGCATTTGTCTATTTATTTGATAAAAAATTTTAGACTTCTAATATTTTCTTTGTTAAATAAGTTATCAAGTAATTTTTTTAAATAGTTTTTATTTTTTATTATTTATTATTTGTCTATATTTCTTATAAAAAATAATAATAATAGTCTATAGTTCATTTTGGTCTTTTTTATTTTTAAAAAAATAAAAAATAAAAAAAATTTAAGAGTATAATCGTGAATTAACATGTCCACAGTAGAAGCTGATAATCAGAAGTAAGGGGTGAACAGTTTCTCAGAATTAACTTTTTTGACTTAAAATAAGTTGTTAGAATCAGAAACAGTTTGAAATAAGTTTAACCAAACAATTCAAAATAATTTTTTAAAAGGTAGAAGTCATTTATTTTTTATTATCTACTACTTGTCTACATTTTTCATAAATAATAATAATAATAATCTATAGTCTATTTTGGTCTTTTTTATTTTTAAAAAAATAAAAAATAAAAAAAATTTAAGAGTATAATCGTGAATTAACATGTCCACAGTAGAAGCTGATAATCAGAAGTAAGGGGTGAACAGTTTCTCAGAATTAATTTTTTTGACTTAAAATAATTTGTTAGAATCAGAAACAGTTTGAAATAAGTTTAACCAAACAATTCAAAATAACTTTTTAAAAGCTAGAAGTCATAAATTGACTCAAAAAAGCCCCACCAAACACTCCCAAAATTCTGGGCTACAGCTCCGCGAAAAATTAGGCCAGATTTGACATCTTTTTAAAAAGTTAAAAAATCTAAAAATTATTCAAAAAATTAAAAAATTATTAGTATTTAAAAAAAATTAAAAATTAATATTTCAAGCCAAGTACAACTCAGTAATCACAGCAATCATTTCTCTGTGCCGCGTGTGGCTGAACAAATCTAAAGAGATTGGGTGCAATTGAACACACTGTTGTTCGGCCAGTGGGGCCCATCATGGGTCCATTTTTGATAATCTAAACCGTTCATATGTAGAACTTGTCGAATACTATATGTCTGTAAAAAATTACATTGATCGGATATCAATAACTATATGATCAAATCAGTTTTGTAAAAAAAAGAGATGGTGTTATAATTAATGATTGAAAAAAATAAATTTGATCAGATAGCTATCGATATCCGATGAACGTATTTTTAAAAAACATATAGTACTCGACGAGTTCTACACATTGAATGGTTCAGATTATCAAAATGGGATCCATGATGGCCCCACAGGCCGAACAAAATCGTTTAGTGCAATACCCGAAAAGTAACCAATAATTTCTTACCACTAATTTGGCTCAACCGATTGTACGGCTGTACAACACAAAAAACTAATCTTCTCCTACACATTTCTTTATACAATTTTTTAATACACATTTTTTCATAAAAAGTCAAAAAATTAACTCAAATATCTATATTTTTTTCTCAACTTTTTAGTCTAAAAAGATAAAAAGTGCACTTATTTAAGACACTCCAAACAACCTCTTAATGTAGGTTAATTAGAGATTTGAAAAGGATTTTAAAAAGAAATTTAAGTAAAATATAAATAAAATATATTTATTTGTTATATATATTTTCACTTTTATTTTTTAAATTTCTTTTCAAATTTCTAATCAAAGGTTTTAAATCTATTATCAAATTTCTAATCAAACATAAGGGTCGGTCGGTGAGGCGTAGACAAGGCACACTGTTTTGTTTAGGCACATGGAAAAAAAAAGTTTGACTATTTAAGTTTTATCATTTTTTTTTAATAATGATTGAGATTTTTTTTAAAAATTATGTTAGAAATTCTAAATAAATTATTAAATTTTTTATCAAATCTCTCACATGGGTGTGGATCCCATACATATGTGATTTGTGTGAGTCTCACACCCGTTTAAAAAAAAAATTGATAATTTCAAAATTGATAATTTATTTGAAATGTAGCATTTTCCTTCTTGTTTTGAAATCCCATATCCTTTTTTGGATTTCGATAGTGTGAGTCCCACATATATATATATATATATATTTGAGTGAATCTCACACATACATTAATGGTTATGATCCAAATGAGTTGTGAGGTCAATACATATATGAGTGGGTCACACACATACATTAATGATTGAGATTGCGGTTCCAAAAAAGAAAGTCCCAAATTTTTTTAAAAAAATTTTTTACATATTTTTTATAAAAATTAAAAAAAATTAATAAATTAATTTTTTTCTATCTCTCAAAAAACAAGTCTTGCAAATCGGGGATCCTCTGTGATCATGGGAGTCTAGAGATTTTTAATGCTAAACGCCCCCACCTAATTTTATTTTATTTTAATTTATTTGATTCATGTGATTTAAATGCAAATTGATTTGTTTGTAAAAGAAATTGTAGTAGAATAATGCCGTTTTTTATGTTGAATAAATACAAATGATACCAATTATTAGTGACGAAAATGTTACAAATTAAAATGAAAAATTTACTCTTAGTGATTTTTGTTATGAAAATTTTGTGATTATGTTATGTATACTACGATACTAGCTAGCAGTATACACAATTAATGGGTGTGCTATTACATGTTATAAATTTTGTAAAAATGTTAGAAATTTCAAAAGTTCTAAAATTTCTATCAAATATTTCATATGAGTATGGAACCCACACGGTGTGGGTCTCACACTCATATGAGATATTTGGTAAAAATTTTAATAGAATTTTTGAGTTCTCTACCATTATTCTAAATTTTGATATGAATCAAATTTTACTAATTTTGAAAATTGGCTTTCAAAGGAAAAGTGTCTAGAGAAAGTTACATTCATTAGGCCAATTATCTTTTGCTCTAATGTGGGATTATGACACATTCTCATTTTACTGATTAATTTGTTCAAAATCATCTATGCTAAACTATTCAATAACTGTTTTTTGTTTAATTGTTGAAGAATACAATTTGGAAGGGACTAATAAGGTTTTTCATGGTCAAATTTCATCACCTTTTGAAATTTTCTTACATGCATGACGTGAGCTGGACAACTATTTTCTCAGATACATTTAGATAACACAACATCGTATTTTCATATTCTTTAATCAACATAAATAGAAACTAGGCATGAACTAGGAGTTTCGACATGAGTTTCATGCCCTCTAGAAGTGAAACTGTTTTTGTTGTCCCAAAACATTTCAAATTTTAGATCAAAAGTACAATTCACCAAACAAAACACTTGTGATTAAGTAAACGGTCATAAATTAAGGTAAGTGAAATTATTTCAACCGGAGAAGATGGGTGGAAAAATAAGAATACATTAATAGAAGAGACTTGGCATTACTGAGTATTGATTTGAGATTTGAAGGAGAATTTAAGGAAGAAAAAAGAGTAGATAATTGAAATAAAATTATATTTCATACATATTTTTATTTTTATTTTTTAAATCTCTTCTCAAATTTTTAATCAAACATAACGGTTTTAAATCTCTTCTCAAATTTCTAATCAAAGATACAGGTCGGTCAGTGAGGCTTAAACAAGGCAGGCGGTTCTATTTAGGCACATGGAAAAAAAAGTTCGGTTATTTAAGTTATATCACTTTTTTATAAAAAAAAAAATTCAATAATGATTGAGATTTTTTTTTGAGTTATGTTACGAATTCTAAATAAATTATCAAATTTTCTATCAAACTTTTCACATAAGTGTGGGATTCACACACATGTGCTTTGTGTGGGTCTGACACCTATGTGAGAGGTTTGGTAGAAAGTTTGGTAATTTATTTGGAGTCCATAACATTTTCTTTCTTTTTTTGGAACTCTACAATCTTTTTTGGTTTTCAATCATTGATAGTGTAGGCCCCACACATATATTAATAGTTGGGTTATGAGGTCAACCATTAATGGTGTGGGTCTCACACATATATGAGTAGGTCCTACACATACATCAATGGTTGGGATTAGGCCTGTCAACGGATCGGATCCGTTGGAATCCGATCCAATCTGATTTAACCATTAATCTGAATCCGATTATTAAAAAATCCGATCACGCACAATCCGATCCGATCCATTTTAAATAGATGTCCAATCCGTATAACCCGATCTGATCAATTCTGTTCTCTCTCTCTCTCTCACTCCATCTCTATGGTTAGCAGCCATAGCCACTACCAGTGGTGGTTTTGAAGAACTTGGCATTATAGGACTGTGAAATCAGAGACCCATAAAGTGTTCAGATTGCTTGTGAGTAAACCTGTAGCTCGACTTTTTTGCGCCCTCTTTCAGAGGTCGAAATAAGCCCTACAGTATCTGACACTCGCGGTTCTGAATCTAATTCCACAAGTGTAATGTAAAATAGATAAACACCAAAGAGTCCAAATCCAACAAATCTTTTGAAAAATTGATTTTGAATCAAATTGCCAAAAATAGACCGCTTTGCCAAATACAGAGTCGTCACTTAAATATTTTTTAAGAAATTTAGAAAACCCATGACACGCGCCAAAGATCACGTGTCCGTCATCACTAAGATTGTCTTGGCTCAGGAACTTGGGTACGAGAGAGGAAGGTTATGAATTGAGCACCCCCGCTCGCCCGATCAAAGATCGACCTCTACTACTTATGATGTGAATCTTATTTACATTATATGCTCTTGTTCCGATTATTAGGCTAGCATTACTATGTGATGTGCACACAAGTATAGACTAATTTTCACGAAAGTTGGAACATTTTGATTTCATGTTTGTTTGAAAAAGTGTTTTGAATATGTACCACTTGAAAAAGTGATCTCATATATATACATTAATCAAAATATCCCAATTTCAAGAAATAGCCTTCATCCACAGACATTCAAACAGGTATATCAACTAAGCATTTAGCCTCATGGTAATATGTTTGATATGGCAGCAACCACAGTCATGCGCTAGGCTAAAGCAAAAAATGCTTACCTCAAATGTTCGAAGGCAAGTCAAAAGAAAGAAAATTGTTAGAGA